TATATAGCAATGTGAAAATGTTATTACCTTGATGCTGTTTTCAATTAAATTACCTTCGTTTATTTCAGTCAAATTTCAATTAATTCCCAATTTGAAGAAACAATTATTATATAAACTAAAAAAAATATTTCATTTCTTTTTTTAAAGAAAGCGAGGAGTCGACAGACTTCCGTTGCTCAAAATCCAATTATATAAACAATTTGTCCGTCATATAAACAGAGTTCTACTTTAAATTTGATTAAAATGGTCCGACAATGTAATACCCAGATAATAAAATTCAGAAATGAATTGTGTTCTATAAAAATTCGGAATGTATAATTCACTGTGTGGCAATTACAAAACATTGAGAGATACAATTAAAAAAAAAATACGATATAACGAAGACTAATAAAGAATATAATAAATAAATACGATATGATAGAAAAACACAATGTAGAAAAACGATTTAATAAAGAACGTTGAATGCTATAATTATAATTGATATAATATAATTATAATAATATAATTATGTTACAATCAATATCATACTAATAATAACATAATGTTATAATATATTGTGATTATTATTATTATTGTTATTATTATTATTATTATATAATAATTATAATGCTTATCATATATCCATCACATACAGTTTTCCTCCTTGTCGCTTCACTATAGACACTCACACTGTATTACGTTGATTTATTTTTATTTCTCAATAAGGTTAGTCAAAACAGCAATTAATTATTCATTTTGTTTGTTACAGGTTTTAAGTACTGCGGCATCGTACTTTACGTTGCTAAAACAGCGTGTAGAAGCAATTTCGTAATATATATTAATCGTAACAATGTATTTTGTACATAAAGTACACAACTCGTTGCTGTACATTAAAAATGAATTTTCAATGATATAAATAAATTTAGTCTGGCAATTATCTGTCGATGAAGATACAGATACCTTATACATGTGTGTACACATTTGCATTCATTGTTTTAGCAGAATTTTAGCAAAAAAATATTCACAGATTTCTCACTGTCAACTGGATCATTTACTTTTTTCAAAAACGGGAACTTCTTTTTTCCAAACGACACACGAGGCAACGTTCCTCGGCAGACTACATCGCCATATTCAACCATTACCCACCACCCCATCCCTCAGGGGGTTTTGAATTATGCATCACTCACGTGATCACATATATTACATCTAGCATATATACTTGCAATTGCACGATCACGGCTAGATATGTCATAATGGTTCGTTTCTTATCACAGAACAACTTACTGATATTAACTTATGAACGAATATAGAGGACGGCACCAAGATCAAAAGCACGACGTTTCGAAACTTTTCGATAATTAATAGATCGTCTCCTCTATAAATTCCAAATCGGTCGTATCTGAATCGTTCGAAATCCAATATGAGCTCGAAACATCATAAAGACATTTCTTTCAGACTAACAACTTTCTTTCTGAAAGTCGTCGGCTTGTGGTTAAGCACTAACCGCTTTGAAAAATGGCTGAGAAATGCCGTAGTGGTGTATAGTACTCTAACAATCATCTTCTCTATGTGGATGCAATCAAGAAGCCTTTATTTCTCTTGGGGAGATTTTAGCGTAAATATATGAAGATTTTCACATGTTTAACGCTTATAACTAGATTGTGGATTTTCATGCATTTATAGGAAACCGTGGATTTTCATGCATTTATAGGAAACTTTATAGTGTGCAATTGCACACAATGCACATAATATGAAAAAAGAATTATAAAATATCTACAACGACAGTTTCTACAACATTTGAACAATTATCTATCAGAGTTTCATTTTTCTTTTTTTTTTTTTTTTTATCACATTTCCGAAAAATATCGACTGCGTAAAAATCTGCAGTCTGCTTGTAACTTTCTCAATTTTAATGTTTCAGGTCTCCTCTAACATTGCGTGCAATTTATTAGGACTGTTCATGGATTTGTTCAAAATTTTAATTATATTTATACACAAGGAGAAGTTCTTTCGCTTAATCGTACACATGCAGAAGAATTTCTGGCATTTCAATTACGATCAGTACGAGAACTCGGTTCTAGCGGACGCGAGACGAATGTGCATTTACTTCGTCTGTGTCTTCTCACTCTTCTCTCAAACCACGATTTTTTCCTACATGGTCAGTCCATTTATATGTAAGTTTGTCAATCTCCGTTCCTCCAGTTTACCTCGAGGGAAAAAAATAAATTCGTGAACAATCGAATTTTAGCAAATGTTGGAAGGAATAACTCAGAAAGGATACTCATATTTAATATGCATATGGATCTATTGTCCATCTCGCCATATTATGAAATTACGTACCTGATACAGGTATAATTATATTTCTATTTTACACAAATATCCCGAAAGATCTTCGTGCATTTATAAATAATTTTTATTACGTTCGTGTCAGGCATTGACTTTGTACCAGGTTGGCGTCTGTTATCTTTGCATCGACGATATATTTTGCATTATGTGCCTGCACGTAGCTAGTCAGTTTCGTATATTGCAATATAGGATAACGAACGTGCCAAGTCTAAAGGGCAAAGATAAACTCGATCAGGACGATGGCTCAAATAAGTGCTACGCGATATTTAAAAATTGCATAAAACAGCATCAAACTCTCATTGAATTCTCTACCACGCTCGAGGAGATATTTACAATAATCGTACTCGGGCAAGTGTTAACGTTTAGTATATTAATTTGTTTCGTCGGATATCAGACGTTTTTGGTTAGTATATGAAATATTATTGCTTCGACATTTCCTTTACTGCAATCTCTTACGTAATTAAGTAAGCAATACGATTTATAAGAATTTGGATTCAATGCAATTTTTATTTAAAGTCGGACATTTGGCTTGAACAATTGGTGCAATGCTTGTAGAAAACATTGTAAGTGTCAGACACGAAATTTTCAATCATTCCAATACTGTAATATATACATTCTACTTAACAATAAAAATAATATACCAAGAGAACATACTTTGATCTGTGTACGAGTAATTTAGAGACGAACAAAATTAACACCTATGGTGTTTTCAAATTCAAATAAATAGATCGCTTCTTGAAAAATTTGATGTTTAACACTCGCGGTACTTTCTACCAGAACTGTTTAATTATCGGCGATATACATCGTGATATACAGGTGGAATTGACATTTTCATGGCGCATTTCTCTTGTATGTTTCTTAATGACTAACATATGGCAATTATGGATCTTCACGTATAGTTGCGATTTCGTGGCGCGAGAAAGTATGAATATTGCTAATGCCGCGTACGCTACACCATGGATTTATTTACCGATGGACAGATTTGGAAAAATGATACGAAAGGATTTGCAACTTGTAATAATAAGATCGAGACGAGCCTGTTATCTCACCGCCTGCGGCTTCTTTCCCATATCCCTTGAAACTTTCACCAAGGTAATATTATCTGTAATTCCTTCTATTTTCTACAGCATTAACAAATTAGTCCCTTTTCTTTTCAATAATTCATTCGATATTTTGCCGTAATTTTTTTTCAATTATTATAATAACGTAACGTCTTCATGTTACAGATCATGAGTTCCGCAATGTCGTATTTCACTATACTGAAGCAGCGAACAGTGAATACAGCAGGATAATTCCTCCAGATTTCATGTTACACGTACACACACACACACGAGTAAGTAGTGGTAAAGCCGAAACATTTGTTTATTTCGATTTCATTGCCTCGCAAATCTGTGGATAATTACGGAACTGTTTAAATAAATAATTGAGGAAAACTTAATTACATAAAATAATAAAATATTCAAATTAAACAAACACGAGTAATTTTAATAAATCGCGGAAATTTTCAAATTAACGAGATTCTTTTTTTTCGAATTTTAAATTGGACTATTGCGTATCATATCTATTATTACTTCTTATTATTTAAATAGTGTCAGATCCCATTCCTTATATTCTAATCACGTGTGTATAAATTTACTTTTAATTTACTATACCATCATAAGCACGTAACATAGTGCAATGCCAGAGGAAGAGCTCAAAGAATTTTATTATCATTTTAACATTAAAAAGTTAATTTTAAATTAGATCGTGATATTGTACGACTTGTAATTTCATCTAATGCCACTTTAGATAATACAAAGAAAAAATTTGCAAAATAATGAGTAATTATGTCTTATGTAATCTAGATAAATATTACAGATAAATATTATTTTATTCTTTTTACAAATATACAAAATGCAAAGAACGTAATACTTGATATGTAGATGTGTATTCTCACACGAAAACATTTTGCTGAACATATTTATTCAACGAATCACATAAAAACAATTTTCATTTAAAGTTATTTGAGCTTGGAAAATTTTTGCAAAAAAAATTCGTAATATTTAACAAACAAATATCATTAAAAAATCTACGTTTACGTTGATATCAGTGACGGATCAAAATTAGAAAGATCATTGTAAAGTTTTAAAATAATTTTATTATATGAACAATAATATGGAGAGTCAAAGGCTCGTTTTTCAGCAGATGCGCTGTTCCCGCTTCCAAGAAGATACTCTGTTTATCTCTCACGATCTTGCAAGTCACATTTTTTAATGGATTTCCTCTGAAAAGCTGTACTGACGATAAACATTTAAAAGGAAATAATATATATCCGTTTTTCAATCAAATTTTGTCACTTGGAAATGGATCAAGCACACCTAACGCTAATCCGAGACCTTATTTTCAATGAACAGAGTTTTTAACAGAATTTTTTAATGAAAATCACTTAAAATTATTCCTCTTCTTCTTCCCCACCAGTTAACATTGCGATAAGGCTTTGCGTATCGATAAATCCTTTGTCATCAATGTACATATTATCATAAGCATCATCAACCTCTTTCGCAGTGAATTTGTCACCGTACGTCAATAGAGCGTGCCTCAATCTGTGAAGGAAAAAACCAACGAGTTACAATTTAAAGAGTTACTCAATTTGTCAGATATTTCATAAATACTGAATACCAACAGCAGGAATGCAATTTCAATCTATTTTCATGGAATTCTAGAATTTTTTACTTATTTTTTTTTTCTTTTTTTTCTGAGAAATAATTTTAAAATAATAACAGCTCTCATTTCTCACCTTTCACCATCAATTTTACCATTTACATCGAAGGTACTGAAGGCAGCAATTACGGTTTCATCATCGTCGGTGCCTAAAGCAAAAAAAAATTACGATCAATTTTAATATACGTACGTACATGAAGTGATCAAGTAATCGTATTATTCTGGTAAAAATATATGTTGATACCTGATCCCGACATGCGAGTTGCGAACAAATTGAGTAGTTGAGTAAAATTGATAGGGGCAGGGACTTCAGCTAGCATATCGTCTAGTTCTTTATCAGTAATCAGACGACCAACATTGTCAAAAGTTGCACGGAGGTCGTTCTTTCCAATTATACCATCCTTATCTTGATCCATAAGTTGGAATGCCTGGTGAACACGATTGAACAGAATCAGATATAAGGTATTATTAATTACAACTCAAACTATTAGCATCTTAATTTTGTTCAGTATTTGTTCAGAAAATAAATCAATTGACTTTGCAACACATTAACATATTAACATTATATTGCAAATAGTGTATATAACGAAATTTCATTTTATCAAAGAATATTCAGTTTCAACCCTTAAATGCACACCGTTGCAAATTTGAAACGTTTTATGTTAATTTTAAATGCATGACTTCAAAAAAAATTGTGCATTTAACGTAATTTACCCGATTAACTACCAATATTAATATTTTTCATTTAGTTTCTCATATTTAGTTTCATCCATTACATACTCACGGATACATTCGCGAAACATATAATGAGACAATTAATTTTCCTTCGGAGAAATTGTGATATTTGTGACAGCAAATATTGGACATGAAAGTTTTACTATTTATTGCATAGTGCCAGATTTTTGGATAATTATTCGTATACAGGCTGTAACTTCGAATAAGTAATGCACGTTGTATAATAAAACTTTTGTTTCCGAAATTTCAAGGTCGCCTCTACTGATTTAAAGAAAAACGATACGTTTTTTGATTCATTAATCGATGCAGCTCGATAAATTAAAAAACATATCATTCTAAAAAGGTCTAAAAAAAAAAAAAAAGAAAAGTGAAGATGACCTTAAAATGTCCGAAACGCCTCGATCTATAAAACAAATTCACGCGCCACATAATGTGCCCCTGCAAATCATGCGACTTTTGTATAAAATGTTTTTTCGTACTACATTTCATACAACATTTCATTGTAAATTTTATACTTTAGAAATGATTCAAGATCAAGTTATGCCGACTAGCCTGTAAAATGTCACTTGGATATACCTCTTTGAACTCGGCAACTTGTTTTTGAGTAAACATAGAAAACACGCTGGATCCAGCGCGTTTAGCCTTACGGCTACCTCGACTACTTGCTCTAGTGGAACCAGAGTCTTTAGGGGTACTCGTAGGAGTCGGTGGTTTTTCTTCTGCTGGTGGTGCTGGCTCTGGCTCTGGTGGAGGAGGAGCTGGCTCCTCCTTCTTTTTAGTCTTCTTCTTCTTCTCTTTATCCGCCTGAAATTTCGTGTAACATTTATTAGAACCGAAATTATAAAAATAAAAATTTTTGATAAACTTGGGCTTACTTTTTTCTTTTTTATACCATTTAGTTCATTTACGAATTAGTTCAATTACGTGCAATTTGATACAATTCCTCGGATATTAAGATACGCGTTTTACCAAAAAAATTAAGTATTCTCCGATATTTAACTGTTATAAATGAAATATCGAATTCAGAATAAATAAAAATGTTCAATTTGTGAACGAATTTTGAAAAATTTTTCCACATCTTTTTCGTGACATTTCTGTAAGTATTTCAGTTCTTGTAGATGTAAAATAAGTGAAAGAATGAACTCGACAAAATATTTAATACAGCTTGCTTCCAGAAAGGAAACCAAGACGAAAATAAATACAAATCTTGATTAACACTAAACGTACCGGCATTTTACATATATCTATGTTACCATAAGGGGTGAAATGACCCTTCGCGGTACATAAGGTATGCAA